AGGTGGCGCAGTGGATATAGCACCCACCCTGAAGTCAGGAGGACCTGAGTTCAAATCTAGCCTCAGACCAAACACTTGACACTTACGAGCTGTGTGACCCTGGGCAAGTCACTTAACCCCAATTGCCTTAAAAAAAATTTTTTTTTTAAAAAACTGAATGCTGTGAAAGTACAGTGATCAAGCTTGTCTACAAAGGAAGAGATATAAGATTGTACCTTCCCCTTTCTTTACAGAGATAGGGAAATATGACTGTGGAGTACAACATATAAGGTTAGTTGTTTTCATTGTGAAAGTTTTGCCAAACTTTTTTTCCCCCTCACATCATGCAGTCTCCACTCCAAGCACCATCTCCCCCCTCTCCACTAAAACTTTGGACTCTTGCCCCTGAAACTGTCCTGTGTTTTGACAGGCCAGATTTAGCCTTCCTTATCTTGCCTACATTCAGGCTTCCACCAAACTTCCAGGCTTTTTCCATGTTTCATCCTTTCAGCTCCATTTTATTTGTTCTCTTTCCCCATTAGAAAGTAAGCTCTTTGAAGGCAGAGTTTAGCTTGTATTTGCATCCCCAGTGATTAGCACAGCTCTAGCATATAAATGCTTACTGAATGCTTTGTCTAATCTATATTCAATAAACAATAAACATTTATTAAGTCCCCACCTTGTGCCAGTCCCTATGCTAAGCTCTGAGGCTACAATTAAGAAAGACAGTCCTGCCCTCAAAGAGCTTACAATCTAATGGGAGGAAGACAGCACACAAATGGAAGATGGAAAGGAGTGGGGGAGGCACTAGGGAGTATGTGGTGCCAAGGCACCTTGTTCTGTGGCGCTGACACCAAGCAGAGCTGCAGGTGTACTATCATCTATATCTGTCTACTTCTCTCCTTCCTTATCTATTTATCTAGCTATCCATCTTTGTATTAAGGGATAGCTCATTAGAAGAGGGTCCTGGAAACAGATATATTGGGAAATGTAGGTGATGGGAAAAAGAAGATGTAAAAACAATTAAAAACACAAGACAAATGCTTTCTTCACAGTGACTAGAATTCTGCAAACATGGAAAAAGGTTTTCCCAGCCTCTATGACTTTCTCCAAGATCCATGAAGACAAAAGTATTACAACTAACTTTTTCTACCCCACCCTCCAACGCTGCCCCAATCCACTGATTGGGTAATAGACAAAAAGTTAAGTTTAGCATTTTTTTTCTTTTCCTTTTTAACATTCAGTGTTTGCTTTCCCTCTGCACATGGTTTGCAACCTCCCCCTCTCCCACCACCTCAGGCTTATCTACTCCTTACTCTGCAAAGCCCTCAAAAATCTCCCACCCATTCCCCCAAATCTCCATGTGCGAATTTCAGACAAATTTCCTAGTGACAACAGGAATCTTAGGTGCACTCCACAGAAACTTATCTTAGGATGAGATAGTGTTAGCAGTAGCTTTGGGGATCAAACCTTCCAGATGAGATTTCTGCAACCCTACGGATCTTGATACTCATTCTCTGCATGCTTCACTCTTTTCCAACTTGGTGGCCAGGTGTAACAAAGGCATATGCCATTCTACAGGATAGTGGGAGTTGGGACAACCTTTAATGGAATGTATTTACTCCCCCTCAAGGTTAGAAGAGAGTGGTTAGATAAGCACTTTTATGAAAAACCATTGCTAATTGCAGCTTAGATTATCTTACTCTCCTTTTCCTTGCTCCAGAAACAGTGCAGAAAATTACATCAGAAAAGCATTTTCCAGCTCAAGTTTGTACAATAACTTGACACCAGACCTAGCCCAGTATTTGCAAGAGTCTCCTCATTTGACTTTCTGCGATCTAAGGGGACTGACTCACTTCTAACAACAAGCTGTATTTTTCTTGGCAAAAAGTGTTGTTTGTAGATGGAGAGGGGAAGGCAGGCAGGTGTGCCCTTTGCCCTTTAGACAGGAAGCCAGAGTTGGGTGGGATAGGAACTCCTAGGGCAGGAGATGGTAGAAAAGGATATTAGAAAACGATGAAGTTATGTGTGCAGAGGGAGGGTGGAAGATAAGAAAGTTCAATCTGATCCCTGGCCAGGAAATAAAACTTTTAAGAGATTGGCTCTGACAGCCATTCTCCTTTCTCCTAAAGGTCTTGAGTGACTTGGGCTTTAGACCAACACCTTACACCATCTTCAACAATACATTCTAAATTGATACATGACCTTAATATTAAGGAGCATAGTATAAAAAAAAAATAGAAGAAAAACAGGTAGTATAACTCTTACAGCAATAGGGAGGAGATTTGGATAAGAAGGGAAATGGTTGAATGGGAAAAATATTTGTATCAAATTTCTCTGATAAGGGATTGGTATAATATATATAAATATATATGCATATATACACACATATATCAACAATTTATATACACATACATATAACACACATATGTATGTGTGTATAAATAAATATTGTGTATATATATATATGTCATTCCCCAATAGATAAGTGGTTAAAGAATATGAACAAATAGTTCTTGGTTTCCACAGCCACATGAAAAAATGTTCCAAATCACTAATAAGAGAAATTGCAATTCAAAACAACTCCAGGGTTTTACTCAGACCCTATAAATTAGTTGGAGGAGTTATGGAATGATAGGCACACTAACACATGGCTGTTGGAAGCTGTGAAATGGTACAATCATTTTGGAAAGCAATTTGGAATTACGCAAATAAAGTAACTAAAATGTTCCTACCATTTGAACTAGAGACTACATCACTGGGCTTATATCCCAAGGAAGCCACTAATAAGAAGAAAGTCTCTATATGCTCTGAAGTATTTTTAGCAGAACTTTTTGTGATAGCTAAGAATTAGAAATAAAATAGATGTTCATTATGGGAGATGGTTAAGCAAACTGTGGCATGTGAATGTAATGGAATATTACTGTGCTCTAAGAAATGTTATGCGTGAGTAGAGAGAAGCCTGGAAAGATCTATATGAACAGATCCAGAGGGAAGTAAGCAAAGCCTAGAAAACAACATACACAGTAACTGTAAAAATGTGAATGGAAAGAATTACAACACACAAAAAAATCCAAAGCAAATGTAACAAAATTATAAAGCTCAAGCAGGACTCAAAAGATTTATGAGAAGACACCTCCAACCCACCCCTTCATGGAGGTGGAAGGTCCACAGGTGTTACACACTGCACTTGGTTTTAGATTTTCTTTTTTTATATCTCCATCAGTTGTGATTTCTTTCATCTCTAAAAAATACTATTTGTTATATGGGATGGCTCTCTGGAGCAGTAGGGGGATGGATAGTTGGGATAACTAGGATGATATAAGAAAAAGATATCAATAAAAACTAATTTAAAAAAGAGGAACTTGAATTTTCTTTTAAAAGTGACTTAGGTGACTAGGTCATATTTCACATTTATATAGCACTAGACATGCCTTACACACTTTATTTTATTTGATCTTCACAACCTGTAAAGTAGGTAATAATCTTCATGTTACAGGTGGGAAAACTGAGGCACAGAAAGGCTACCTAGGTAATGAATACCAGAGCTGAAACTTGCACCCATTTCTTCATATTCTTAATCTAGTGCCCTTTCCTCTACTCCATCCAGCTGCATCTCTGGGTGGATCATGCTGCTCTTTGAAAATGTCTAGATAAGGCTTGAAGTTGGCTCCCCTCACACAACCAGCTCAAAAAAAGGATAGCAGCATTAACTTTGCATCAGTGGAAAGCCCTCAGATAGGTTTCTGAAGATCATTCAACAATGCAATAAATGTATTATTATAAGTATTAAGCATTTACCATGTGCAAAGACTAAGCTAGGCTCAGAGAATTAAAGACAAAAATGCAATAGGCTATACTCCAGGTTACATTCTACTGGGGCGTACAATACAAACATAAGCTCAAGAAAATTTAAGGAGTGAAAGTTAAAAATTAGGGAGGAGGTGACATGAGCTGAGCCTTTAAGAAGCGAAAAATTTTTTTTTTTTTAGCTAGGCAATGGGGTTAAGTAATTTGCCCACGGTCAGCGTTATGTATCTGAGGCCACATTTGAACTCAGGTCCTTCTGACTCCAGGGCCGGTGCTCTATCCACTGCGCCACCTAGCTGCGGAAGGAGTGAATTCCAGGCCTAGGGGCCAGGCGATGTAAAGCCGTAGAGGCGGGAGATGGAATTCTAAGTTCAGGGATTAGTAAATTGGTCACATTGGCTGAAATGTAGTAAGGCCAGAGGCATGAAACAAATCTGAAAAGATCGTCTGGAGTGACAATGAAAGATTTTAGATGCCAACCTGGAGAAGCTGTATTTTATCATAGAAACAAAAGGAAGCTATTGAAGTCTTGAGCAGAGTAGAGTGACATGATCAGATATTTTTGGCAGCTGTGTGGAATATGTGCTGAAAGCCAGCTACTGCTAGCCTGAGAAAGAAATGATGAAGATTTGAAAAGTAACGTAAGGCCTTGAGTGCAGAGAGAAGGGGACAGGTGAAAGAGCTATAGAAGTAGAATCTGTAAGATAATGGGAACTGATTATATATGGGATGATTAGGGAGAGGGGAGGGTTAAGGATGCTGTTGCCAATTTGTGAGTGACTAGAAGGATGGTGGTACCTTGATAGAAATAATAAAGTTTGAGTGTTGATAGTTCCATTTTGGCCACATTGAGCTTGAGATGTCTATTAAACATTGAGGTGGAGATGTACAGAAAGCAGTTGGTGATGTAGGAGAGATTAAGGAAAGGTTGTCCTGGAAGTCATATGCATAGAAAGATAATTGAACTCAGGGTAGTAGTTGAGATCACCATTAGAGGTATAAGGAGAAAAGAGGGCTCAGAGTCAGTCTTGGGACCAGCCATGGTTTATGATGAAACTGAGGTGTGATTGGCAGGAAGGAAAACCAGAAGAAAGTATTGTTTGGGACTCCAAAGAAAGAAAATACCCAGGAAGAGGCAGTTTGAGTCAAATATCAAAAGCTAGAGAGGTCAAGAGAAAAACAAAAGGCTACCATATTAAGCAACTAAGAAATCATTGATAAGCACAAAGCAGTTTTGATTCATTTTCATACAGGTACATTCCTTCTTCCTCTCATACCAATTAGAGCTACAGAATGATAGAAGTGGAAGAAACCTTAGAATACAATTCTCTTACGCAGATAACAAGTTCCTCGAAAAGTCATTATTCAGCCTCTTCGTTTCTCCATCTTCTCTTCTAGGCTTCAGGTCATTTTCACTGTTCATCATTAAATTAGACTTCTGTGAGGACCTTTTATTTCTTTTTGGTTTTTCAATTAACAAAAATATTTTCTCTCTCTCTTACTTTCCTCTACCACATTGGAAAAAACAACTTTTTGTAACAACTATGCAAACAAGCAAAACTAATTCCAGCATTGACCAAACCAAAAAAATATGTCCCAGTCCTGGAATCACATCTGTTTGGGGGTGGGTAGTATGTTTCACTACAGATCCTCTGCCATTGTGGTTAGTCATTGTGATGATCAGAGTTCTTGAGTCTTCCGAAGTTGTTGGCCTTTACGATGTTGTTACTGCAAAAATTGTTCTACTGGTTTAGCTTACTTTACTGCAGGAGGTTCATACAAGTCCTTACAAGTTTCTCTGAAATCATACCCTTGATCATTTCTTATAATAGTATTCCATTACATTCACATTCTATAATTTATTTAGCCACTCCCCAACTGATGGGCACTGGCTTTTATTTTCAGTCAAAAAAAGAGCTGCTTCTGTGGAGACTTTTCCACCTATATTTTGAATAAATACAATTTTGTGAAATAACTGATACATTAAAGACTTCCCTAACAAGTTTGTCCAAAAGGGAAACTGCTTAATAATTCCCATACCTACCTTTAAAAAAGGACTTGTAAAAGAATTTCACAAACTTGTAGAATATACCAGAAAATTTTGTTAGCAACTAAAAAGGTTCTGAGTGATAAACTTACCTAATTCCTTTCCTTGAAAGATATAGGAAACTCAGATTTTTCCCCAAGTAAATTGTTTCTAATATGCTTGCTGTCTACCACATGGCCCTAGAACAACTGGGGAGCAAATGACTGCAAATTCTTTCCCCGAAGACTACAACAGGTTGGTTCTTTCCACAGAAGAGATTCAAGTGGCTTCTCTTGCCAGTTTTCCATTTGATAAAAAAAAAAGTATGCCAGTTTAGGACAATTTATTTACCTTTAATAGCTTTCTAGCTACTGACTTTACTCCTCTATTATTTGCATAAATATTCCCCTACATAAGCAAGGCTCCATTGCTATTGCTGACTGCAAGCTGATGGGCTCAAAATAGTCATTAGTACTCTGCAATTCATGTCTCACTACCATGAGCTATTAGTAATCCATTTGTGAAGCACTATCTTCGTAGTGCTAGGAAGCTCAGGATCATTTCTGAGATGGCACTAAGCTTAACAGTTTGAGAAAAGACTGCTTATCCTGAAGAACAAATGTTACTAATCATTGCAGCAATGTATATGCTGGAGTGAAGAAACCTGGGGTTTAAGACCTGCCTCCAACTCACTAAGCCCTGAGCCCATTTTCTCAACTGTAAGGATATTTACACTAGCATTACCTATCTCAGTTTTCTGTACTTGTTAAAACATTAAGCTGCTACAGAAATGGGATTTTACTGACCCCACTCTTGCTAAAAGGAAGATTTTCAGAGCTATCCTAGGGAAATTATTCATCTGGTCTTAAATACACTCTTTACTATTCTTTATTGGGTTCTTTTCCCCCAATCACTGAATGTTATTTCTCAAAAATTTGTTTGGCTCTACAATAAGGCTGAAACAGAACTATTTACAGGGAAGAGGATAGTATGGTTGATTAGAAAGGGCCCCTAACTGGGGAGTCTGGCGGTCTGGGTGTTAAGTTGTGGCTGCACTGCCTAATAACCATGTAATCATGGTCATTAACTTCTTTGCATGCCAGTATTCTCTCACAAGGACATTGTGAGGAAATCTGTGTAAAGTGCCACAGAATTAACATTAATGGAATCAAATGAACCAAGTAACTTAACTGGTTATCAGACAGCATTAGAGCTGGAAAGGACCTGAAAGATCATCTTAGTAAATCTCATTTTTCAGATGAGAAAAGTCAGTTAGAAATTCTCATCTCCCAACTCATTCCAGGATACTTTCCACTTTCCATCACACTGTATGTACTATTTTCTGTCTGCTTCTCTCTAAATTATCATTGAGATTAAGAGCGTTTAGCCTATTCTGGCCTCTAGAAAACAGGGCTTATATCTTTCAAAGCCTACCTACATGGCAATATGGCATAATGGATCAAGAGATGGCCTTTGAGACAGAAGGTTCCAGACCCACCTCTGACAAATACTGTGTGACCCCAGGTAGGTCACTGAGCCTCTCAATACTGTCTACAGTTATGACTAAGGTGCAGGAAAGATGCTGACTTGCATTGGTATATGTAATTTCCTTTGCTAGGCACTCCCTACACCAGTAGGGAGCCCCTAGACTCCACAAGCATTTATGCTAAACATTTTTCAACTCTCCAGCTTATAATCTTGAGGGCAGTCTTATTTTTCTTTGGTCTACATCTTTAATCTAGTTAACATAATGCTACAAACACCCTATGATCATTAAGATATGAAATACAAATAACGCAAAGCTTATTTCATGAATCTGCAAAAATGTATAAAGACAGAAGTCAAGAGATAGCCTCAATTTGCTTTTCACTGTATTCACAAGTGTCTCTGAAGTTTTCCCACAAAATAATTCTATTCAACAACAAACAACAAAATTATAGAGCTCAATTTCTGAAGGTTTAGATTGAACAGTTTAAACTTACAATTTTCCATCAATTCTGACATGCTGTGGGTTTCAACTAGGAAAGGAAGATAGGTCATATGAGGATTAAACTGATTTGGAGAGATTATCCAATGGTAGCTTTTTTTTTTTTTGATTATCCAATAGTATTCATGAACATGTCAAAATGTTCACCTCTCTACTGTCACAAACTACAAGATGTTCATTCTTTCAAATTACATATATTCAGAAAGTACACATTTAGTAATTCTAAAAGCATCAGCCACTTATATCAAAGCACCTCTAAATAAAGTCTCTTATTGATGCTACTATCAGTATTTTCATCAGTGAATAGTTTCCAACCAGCAGTTTGTAAAACTCAAACATTTCCCCCTTTAAATTATACCACATGGTTTCAGCAATACGCGAATTAATCCTTAAAGGGAAATGCCAGGAGTTATTTCTCCTACTATTACAATTTCTTTATAGAGTTCATTCTGGGTGCTACATCATCTGTCCAGCTCCTATCAGTGAGGGAGCTGTTGTTTCCCTCTGAATGTGTGCCACTGCAATAAGGCGGCATATGCACTCCTCAAGTGACCTGCATGGATATGATGAAAAACACACTTAAGGTTATTGCCACAGATGCTTATAATCACAGACCTACCATAAAAACCAGGCAACTAATTTTCAATGTCCTATTTTTGGGGAGATGGACAGGAAATAAGAACTCTCAAGTTCATCATATGGAAAGCTGTTTCCCCTTTATTCTTAAACATCTTAGCATTAGCTTTCTGAAGCATTGTTGCCTTGTAATGACCCTGCAAACTTCATGTACAATTAGCTTTTGTACAATTTGAGGGATTTTTTTTTTCCCCATGAGAGCAATTTATAAGACTCTGAAGTATGTATGGTTCTGGAGGAGAAAGAAATGTAGGTCTACATTAAAGGCTGGCATTAAACAGGCTAAATAATAATTCCTTTCCAAAACTTTGCCTTGATGAAAGAAAAAATCTGGTTCTTGATTTATCATTCTACTAGGAAGTAAATTCATAATTTTTAAAAAATTCATGCCAACAGTTTCAATTTCCCACCAAAATGAATAATTAGTAAGATCAAGAGTATACCAAATCTCCTAGAATAATTAGTGAAATGACCAAGAGAGACAAGTGATCCTTCAATAATTAAGCATCATAATGAAACCAAATAGCTCTGTATAGTAATTACTCTATTAAGAGTAATTAATATGCATATTCAGAACTGGTGTATGAAATTACTATGGATATTCAGTTAAGAAGCACACATTTGATTTATATTTCCTGACAAACTACTGAGAGAATGTTATTATTCCCCTGAAATTGGAGAGATAAAACAAATATAAATGACTGGAGAGATATACTTATGTATCAATCCCTCCTAGTCAGATAAGGAAATAAGTGACAAAGTCTCTTGCACTGAAGTTATGTATTTAACAGTTTTACATGTAATATTTATATATAAAAAACTTTTAAGTGCTTTTCTCCAATTTAAAAATCTAAAGAATTCAAAAATAAGGCATTCAATATTTGAAAAAAGTACAGATTTACAAAATGTGTATATTCTGTCATGAAAACTTCACACCAACATTATACACTTGGAAAAAAAATACAAACAGGATATATTACAAATTTATGTAGCAATAACTTAGTTCATACCATGCAATAAAAAGTACATTAATCAAGATACACAAGCTTTTAAAGGTTCTAAACTGAAGGGCTTTTTTTTCTTTTTTGCAGACACATTAGGTATGCAAATCCTTAAAACCTGTGGCACTTAAAATTTCTGGTAGCCTTTCTACTGAGAGGTAAATTATACACAACAATGATGATGAGGATGAACACAGCAGTTGTCTATTATGAATCATTCCAGCTTTGTTCAACAATAGCTGAAACTCTTTTCTCATATTCTCGTTTGTTTTCCTGATAAAGCTGCGCTGCCTGGCTATTGGCAGGACTGTTGGGATTAGGTTCATCCAGCAGAGACTGAAAGAGAGAAGAGAGGAAAAGCGTACATATTTAATACTTGAAACACAGTACATGACAAGGATACAAACAACAGAAATCCTTCAGGAGGAGTAATTATCGATATTAATGCAAGTTTTAGCTACCAAGCTACTTGACTCTAATAATGATAGTATCCTGACAATGAACTTAACTTCAAAAGCAAATAACTACCAACTATCTTATGAGATTACATTTCAAAGACAATCAGAAAAGAACAGCATTCTCCAGAAACCGAGAGACAGTAAGCTAATTTGGCTGTTAAATATATGGTTATAATTTAGCAACCGGCATTGTAAAGGCTCAGTCCAAAAGGTGTTACTTTTCAAACATTTAGCAGTGAATCTTTTCAATTTCCTTCATATTCCAAAATGTATAGAACTGGTGAGGAAATAAAGTAGGTAAGGAGAAAACAATGCTAGAAATAAGTGTGTGTATGTGTATGTGTTGGAGAGGGAGAAGTAGGAGGGAGCTTCAAAGGGTATATTAAAAACCAAAGAACCACTACCATGTGCACACTACCCTCCCTCTATCACTTCCCCCTCTCCCCGACCCCCCAAATTAATTCCTGTCATTCTATTTCACTGACTTCCAATTATTATCTACCATGCTGCTTTGGTATCTAAGTTTCACTTAAGGGTGGGGAGGAAACTACAGTTTACCTATTAGGCAAATTTAATGTTGCTTTGCTCATATACTATCATCCCAAGATTCTTACTCTAGCGCCCCTTAAATAAATAGAAGTCTACATTCTTCTAATCAACAAGAATATCCTTTCTGGGATTCTTCACCAAGATTTCCTAACCATAAGAAAACCTGATTTACACTATTTCTAGCAAGAAAGACAAAGAATTTACCTGAATTGATGTTAAAATAGAGGACACATCATACGTTGGACTCCAACGATTCTGGAGGATATCTAAACATATGCTACCATCGGCATAGACTGCAAATATAATATTGAAGTCAGTAACAGTTTACTTTGTTATAATTCAAGAGTTCCCAGAAATCTTTCCCACACAGAATAAAGCTCTGTGAAGCCCTCCCAACAATTTTCCAAAACTTCTCTGCTCCACAGGAATATAACTTTCAAAAATAATGCCACCAGGAAGAAGGGTTATTCTAATTAGATGTCAACAGGAGGGTTCGACTAGATAACTTTTAAGGCACCATCCATCTCTAAGTCCATGATCCTGTGATCATTAAAATTGTGTTAGTATTTCAAACTATGGAGATGGAGATAAAAAGACCATGGCAGAAAATAGCTAATAGCACTAAAGGTGCTCCTTTGTGAAATGTGACAATTCAAAGGGCTTAAATACACCCTCTTCAGTATTTGCAATATCCAATATAGTCACTTACCATTTGGATGAAACATCTTTGATAAGAACCTAACAGTGGGAGGTTTATTCGGATACTCTTCTGAGAATTCTATTACTAGTTTAAAGGTACCTGAGACAGAAGAAAACAAAGCCAATAAAACAATTAGGACAAGTATGAGCAATCATCTGGCACCTTTTAATTACCATACAAACATAAATGCCCTATTTTAGTTCTATACTTAAAAGGTGGTATCATCTATTAGTACCCTTACTCATGGACACATTATATGCCTGTGATGAGATTCTGAAATTGGAATGAGTTAGGATTGCCAACATAGACTCATTTACCTATATTCCCCTTTATTATTCATTTAGAATAGTTGTTTTAAGCATAAGTAGGTAAAATGTCCCTCTTGTTGAGGTAGGCAGCGTGATATAGTGGAAAAAGCAATGGATTTGAAGTCAGATAGCCTGGTTTACTTATTATCTGTGTGACCTTGGGCAAGACTCTTTATTTCTATGGGCCTCAGTTTCCTCATCTTTAAAATGAAGAGACTGAACTTAGATCGATGATCTCTAAGGTTCCTTGTAGCTCTAAATCTATGATCCTAACTAATGGCTGTATTTTTTAAGAAGGCAAAATGGTGGTAGAAGGGAACTGTTTAGCTGCTCTTTCACCTCACTGAAAGTACTTAGTTGGAATGTTACTATTAAGTATACAAAGTCACACATCAAAGTACATAAGAGAAGGGAATATTCTGCATTTGTCTCTGGATATCTTACAGAGGCAGCCTTGGCATAGTGGAAAGAGAGGCTGCCTCTGAGCCAGGAAGACCTAGGTTTAAGTCATACCTCTGAAACATATTGATTGGGTAACCCTATGGCAAGCAAGTTAGCTTTTTGGTGTTCTACAAAACTCTCTAAAATTAAGAGGGTGGTAGTTGGCATCGGTAGAGGAAGTTCCTTTTGTATTCCTAGAAACTAGAACAATGCTTTGTAAATAATGAGCAATTTTAAAATATCTGTTAAAGTAAATTCAACTTCACAAAATTAAAAGTCATTTTTTAACCACAGAAAATACTACCCAAATAACCACACCTAAAACTCTCCAATCTACGAACATTTATCTGCTTTATTAGAGGGCATCCAATAAACTGGGAAATATTCCATAAAGTAAAAATCAACAAACTTTTAGTCCAGCTTTCGTTGCCAAGGTCTAATGGACAAGCTTCAAGCTTCTTTCCTTATCTCTACTACTCAAAATACATACTCACAGAGAACACAAATACCTCACACCTATTTCTCAGGCTTATTCAAAAGTCAAATGAAATTTGGTTTTAATCTACCCTGACATTAGAGGCTCTTATTTAGAAAAGATTTTATGAAGTCTTTACTAGATTAAAATACTGGAAATTATACCATATTTAACAGCATGGGATTTCCTTGTCTGTTTATAATCTGGGATTTTTCTACATGCATAAGTCACATCCAAAAATCAATCACTTCAAATCTGCATCCAATAGGGTTGGCAATTTAAACAATATGAAGAAAATAAGTTTTATAAAGACAGGTATTTCAGATCCATGACTGCTCACTGAAGAAAAAATACTGTCTTATTAAAAGACTACACACTTTTGATTGAGAAACTGCATGACTTGGTTGATAGAGGGCCATCTTTGGAGTCAAGAAGAACTGGGTTCAGATTCTGCTTTTGATTCATATTTGCTGTGCAACCACTGGCAATAGTCACTTAACCCCTCACCAAATCCAGGCGACTCCACAAGTTACAAACAGCTGTTGATCTGCAACTGTGGAAGGAGTTTCTACAAAGTAGAGTTCATGACACTGATGAAATCACACATCCAGATCAAGACAATGTATTTAAAAATTCTGATTGATGAATATTAAAAACTTGATCATTTTAAATAATTCGACTTAAGAAAAGATGTCATTTTTAGGACAATCCCAAGAACTGGCTTTAAAAAAAATCAATTCAATGAGTTCAATTAAACAGTTATCAGTTAGTTTTGCATTACTCTGCTTCTCTATGAAAATAATCCAATGTGTGTACAAAAGAGAATACAAAATATTTACCATCACTTAGGAGTGGGGAAAGTCTAGTGGTGTTGTAAACTATTCTACATGAAGCTATTGGCAGCAATGTTTAAAAACAACTCCTGTTGAACACTATGCCAACATGGTCACAGCAGGCTAAAAGCATGACGAACCTCCTGGTGTTTACCTCATGGACATCTCTAGTACGTTACAAACCATCTAAATATAAACTATTCTCAACATGGTTCCTGTCTCTAAGTTTACTGTCCAATATCCAACTGCCCTAGCAATAAACTAGGGCACTGAAGTTTATTCAAGCTCCAGAAGAGAAAGTCCTTTGTGAGCTGTCAATTCCCAATAGCCTACAATTTTTTGTCTACTTTCAAACTGGCTTGCAACAACAGGAAAAGGTTTTAAGCAGAAGGTATTAATATGCCAACTTGCTACTTAAAAGCATCCTCTTCATGTAGGAGATAGCAAAGAAATGTTCACCAGGAACACTTACCATCCTCAAAGGGTGTGCCTTCTGGCCTAAAAGATTAAAAAAAAAAATTCAATTAGCATATGCCCTTCAATACACTCTTGTAAGATGGGGACCAAAACACTTTAAGACAATTTAGAATGACCCTGAGCCAATTTATCCTGATTTCTAGAAGATTTAATATCTTCTAGCATTAGTGCAGCTAGGTGGAGAAATGGATAGAAGTGTGGGCCTGGAGTCTCATCTTCCACAGTTTAAATCTGGCCTCAGACATTTAACAGCCCAGTGACCTTGGACAAGTCACTTAACCCTGCTTGCTTCAGTTTCCTCATCTGTAAAATGGACTGAAAAAGAAAATGGCAATCCACTTCAGTATCTTTGCCAAGAATGCCCCAAATGGGGTCATGAAGAGTTGGTCACAAATGAACAACATCAAAGCACCAGTCTTGTGAGAAATGGGGCTAAGCTCGGTGTGGATGTTATCACAGGTAAGCTATTCATTCTACCAACTGCCGTTCTTCTCTTGCCCCAAATCTCTTCCCTTCTTCTCATACCAATTCTACCTTTCCCAAGAGGTTTAAATACACAATATGTACAGAGTACATTAAGCATTTTAATACAAATAATTACTATGGCAGGTTAAACGTAGGTTTATTCTTTCTTCACTCTGAGATTATTCTCACTTATCTATTGAAAACAATCTGATTTTTAAAAATTTGCTCTGGAGCAAAGAGAACTTTTTTTGGGATCTTATTTTAAAAATAATTATTAAAAAGTAAACCCTTTTTAAAAGATCAAAAGGATCACTTCATAATAATTTGAATTTAAAGCTGCTGGTGTCTACAACCACAACAAAACCCTAGGAAGAAAAGAAATGGAATAAAGAATGAAAATAAACAAAATACAAAAGGCATAATGGAATTTTAAATGTAAAGAGAAAAAAAATCAAGTTTACATTTTAACACGTGGTTACTGAAGTCAAGAACTCACTTTCCACTTTTATTTACATAGGCCCATAGAGTATTTGCATTTACTATACTGCCACATTAAGTGGTACTTTTTCTCCCACAGTAAGACTGAAATGCATTCTGTGTTGTGCCTGTACCCAGACTGGCTTGACACAGAAGACTATCAGTTTTTCCTTTACCATTCTACTGAACAAATAACTTTAACTAGCATGGTCTTACAAGGAAATAAAAGCATAATTAAATTTATGTAAAAGACCAAAAGCACAAGTGAAATAGTTCTTATAATCCCACTATAAAAATTCGAGTAGAAACTTCTTAACTTCCAGTTCTAGACTTGGAGGATTTCAACTTCTTTCAAGAGAACTGAACTTTTAATACTACAAAAAATACATCATTTCACTCATGTAGGTATTTCCTCAACAGATGCAGATCACAATTTTTCCATACCTTACTGGTCTTTATGGTTTAAAAAAAAAAAAAAATCAAGTGGTAACCAACATTCTGGTGATTGATTCCTCTGCACTTAGCTAGGTCCTTGTACCACCAACAGAAGCTTTTTTAGTTTGATAGGACCTGTTTAGCTTGTATTTCATTAGTGTAGCTTTTTAGAGCTGAAGATGAACTCCCTGTATACAATGTGGTTTTACGGAGAACATTTGCCAAATATTTTACTTCAATGCTCAAAGGATGATGAGGCCTATCATTTGTTATGACTTGCTACTTACCCAAATATAACTGCATTCCACTGCATGATGTTGTTTTCAGATGGTGCGCCGCTGACACCCACAGGTGGGTCTTCTTGCAATCTAAGAATTAAAGAAATACAAGCAAAAAAGTTGACTATGAAACCCAATGAGAAAGCCCACTGAAGCACACAGGATCACTGTTCCATATAGTCTTCTAGAAACTCTAATCAATTTATGTTATTTTAAACTAGATGTATTTCCATGTCTTTGCTGAAAGGACAAGGGTCCTTCTCAACTCTTGAATGAAAAAATCTAGAGGTACCTAAACCTTGCTGCCTTTAAAAAGCTACACAGCACTCCAGGTTCTCCAGAATTTTACAGGATTTAGGATCAATGATTTTCCCCTAGGTTACGTAAGATGGTGTTCCTTACCATGTAGCATTAACTGAATAGCTCAACTGCCAAGATAATTCTGATCACTCGACCATATTATTTAGGGCTAGAAGGGACTGGCTTTAGAAGTCTTCCCTTCAAATGATGGTGAGGAAACTGAGGCCCGGAGAATTAAATATCTTGCCCAAGATCACAAAAAAGCTGTGAGCAAAGCAGATATTCAAATCCAGTACTCCTTCCATTACACCACCTTATTTTCATCGTCCCTGCATTTTTAATACATTTTCATCCTGACCCTTGCTACTTTACAACATGGAGGACAGAATGTAATTACAATTACAAAATAGCCCAACTATGCCTACTGAAGGCAGCTAGGTAGCACAATGGAGTATGGAAGACTTGAATTCAATATTCAGCCTCAGATACTTACTAGCCTCGACCCTGGGCAAGTCACTTAATGTCTGGTATATCTCTATTTCCTCAACTGTAAAATAATGATAACATTTACTTCCCAGGGTTGTTGTGAGGATCAAATATTTGGAAAATGTTTAGCATAATGCCTGGCACAAGTATAAAGAAAAGCTACTTATTATTAGTAGTAGCAATAATAGTAGTATACCAATCTACTAATAAATAAACATCTTATTTTTATTCAGTTTATTTCAGGAGAAGGAAATATCAATTTACTTGGGATTATATTGGAAATTAGGGTCATCTAATTCTGAGGCATCAAATGTGCTACCCACAACACTCCCCAGCTGGATCCAGATTAAAATGTAATTGGGAATTATTTAACAAAATAAATGAAAATAAAATAAAACATAGACAATATTACATTTTAAAACTAAGTAGATATGCAGCCCACAGGGAACCTTCCAAATCTATGGACTGGTAAGTCCCCTTTCCATTTAAGTTCGACATCATTGATCTAGTCCAAGCTCCTCACTTCACAGATAAGGAAGCTGAAGCTCAGAAAGGTTGGGTGACGAAGACTATAATCATACACAGGTTGTAAGCAGAAACTTCTTTCCATTACACTCTAAATGGTGTGCTTAGTTAAGATATAATGAAGGTGGGAAAGCATATAGGAATAACTTCCAAAAAGCAGCTAGGTCCCTTTTATTGTCATTTACCTCTTCTTCAAGCTCCAGATTCAACAATTATAAAAGCTGTATCTTAAAAGGCAGTGACAAAACACCAGGAGTCTGGAGAGTGACAATGTGTCAGGGCTAGACTAACAACCAGACATATAACCTTCCTCAGGGTCAAGTTCACTCAGCATTCAACTGTGCCTCGGATTATAAACTCTCAAGGTTTATTGGCTGCCAGATTCCTAAACTTAATTAGGCAGGAACCAGACCGAGGTTGCAAGTACAAGAAATCCATGTAACTACATTAGAAGAAAGGATAATGATGCTTTTTCTCCAAGTACAGTACCACCAAATGATACATTACCTCTCAAAATTTTATCTCAGTTTTCATAACTGAAAGGCTATTTTGTACATAATGGTACAGGACAGAGTCGTAAATAGTAAATACTCGTCTCTTATACTAGTGATGACTTTGTGACCACTATGATTCTAAACAAGACTGCTACACAAAAATGACAATAAATAGAATGGCTGATATTCATTGGGCTTTATGAATTACTCATCAGTTCATATACATGTATATCATTTGATCCCTTAAAAGTACTGGGCATGTGAAGTAATACAACTACCATTATTTTATAATTAGTAGACAGGGAAACTGAGGCCCAAAGAAATTAAATACCTTACCTAAGGTCAAGCAGTTAATTAATTAGGTGGCTGAGTCTAGTAAAAGGGTTCTAAACAGCCAGTGTTTAAAGTGTATATTCAACTGCTCAGCAAGGTGTGGCAAGTCTTTTATAAGAGTGAGGTTCCGGAAGAAGCAAGTCAAAGTTCAGAACAATGAAGGTACCCCGGGATATCAATGTCTGTGAACAACAGTGACCAATGGACAACAAGGACAATGCAATTTACAGGAAGCTGAAGTTCCATATGCAAGTAGTGCATATTTATTTCCCTTTTATAATTGACCCCAGCAATTCACTACCCTCCCCTCAGGGATAAACATCACAGCCTCTTAAGCACGTTCAGTAGATTGTCAACAAGCAAAGTGGCAGGACTGATATATCTTCCATAATGGCCACAACTTCTTGTTAATTAACCCCAGCATACTTCTAAAGGTCCAGAAACTTTTTAGCATTTAGAAATGTAGTACATAAAAAGTTGTGTTGCCAGAATTAAGCTGTATCCAAAGCAAAATTTAAGAAATAAAATGAACTGTACTTGGAACCCAAATTGGAAACCTATTACTTGGGTAATTCTCAGAAAAACCAACCAATGAAATATCTAGCCATAAAATAGTGTTTTAAAGATGTTTTTAAAAAAAATCAAAAGCTGAGTACATTATACATGTGACCCTCCTAATTTTTCTAGAAAGTGCTTCAAGTGTGTTACCTTCCAATAACTGGAAAAAGACAACTAGGATATAAAGTTAACCTTTGTCTCTTATTCAGGTAACCTTCTTTTAAAGGCTTCAATACAGACCTATGAAGTTATAAAGTTTTACATGCAAAATATTGTAAACTATTCAATACTTTGCACATAAGTATTTTATCTTGATACTGAATTTTTTTTTTTTTGGTAAACGGGTTCAAGTACATTGCATTTAAGCAGAATTATACCATTTTCCCCTGGGGAAAAGGCACCCACAACAGCTCAGTCTGAATTAAGAGGTAGTATACTTAAGGAAAAAGATCTCTCAAGCACCTCACCTGAGAACTTAAAAGGGTGTGGTGAAAGCACTCTAATTTTTAAGTAACTAAAAACTTTGTGGCAAACAAGCAGGTTTCCCCAGAACAAAGTCATCCCAAACACTTCTCTTTAAGCAAAAAAAAAAAAAAAAAAAAAATTTTGAGGAAAGATAGGTTCAGTAATAAATTTCCTCACTATTTTATATTCCCACGTATCTTCCAAGTTTTTGTAAAGGTAAGTAAATCACTTCTAAAAAAAACATCTACTTTGTCAAAATCCCATCCTTCTCAACAGATAAAAATCCTAAAATCAAATCTAAATGCACCACAGGAAACCCAGGTGCTCGTCTTATCACTTTCAGTACTGGCAAGAAAGCCATTTCTTCAAACCTTAAAAGTTACTAGTTCAAAGAATTATCCAACATGTCTCCTGGTAACGAAAAAGGATACCTGGAAAGAATGAGTTGATCCCCACCAGACCCCTAACTAGCTCTTACAAGGACTGGAACCAGAGATTTGGGTAGGCTCAGCACCCGGCAAGGTTGTTTTTGTTTTTGCTTTTTTTCCCGGGGGGGGAGTTGGGGGGGGGAAGAGGGAGAAGGGAGAAAGGGAAGGGAGGGGAGGAGAGGGAGAGGCTTAGTCTCCAGCTTCCACCAAATTCACCACTCTCACGGAAGGGACAGGGGTTACTCAAGGCCAGCCCCAACCCCGGAAAAGGGGTGTCGGATTCAATTAGAAAAACACAGAATTAAGATTCCCGTTGGGGGAAGGGGAGCATCCTCCAGTGAAAAGGACACCCCGCTAGGGCATACAAATATAAACGAAACAGAGGATTGAGGGGGGGAAAGGAAGAGAAATACCCCCCTCTTCTCCAAACCTGGGGGTGTCGCCCGACATTCGCCTCATTAAAATAACAAATGAAACCCAGGAAGGCAAAGAAATCAGCTCCTTCCCCTCCCTCCCTCCAAACATGGGGGTGTCCGATCGCCTTCCTCTATCACAAAAACAAACCAGGCTGAGACAAGCCCTCCGTTCCCCAAACACGGGGGTGTCGGACGCCCCCTTCTACTGATGGGGACGCGGAGCTGGGCGCAGCTGGCGGCCTGTGCAGTCCCCTACCCACACCCCCACCCCCGTTTTCACCTAGGAAAGGAAGAGAAAATTAGAATTCCCTTGGCCCGGAACTGAAGGTCGACAGAGTGCAGCGAGCTCCGGTCAGGAGCCGCCTCAAACCCGGGTCCTACCCCAGCCCTAACCCGGGATCTGAGACAGGCCAGGCCGCGTCGCGGAGCTAAAGGGAAGGTGCCCTGCGGCCTAGCCTCGCCGGGATTGGTCTCTAGTCTCCTCTTCTGCCCACAGGCTTCAGGGAAAGGAGGAAGACAGCCGGAAAATAGGACAGGGACATCTGCTAGGGGCAGTTACCGCTTGAAGTCCCGCATGAGCCTCCTCCTGGCCGGGGTCGACATTATCCCCCCTCTCCCCCGCGGTCTGTGTGAGAGAAAAGAGTCCCGAGCTTCCCACCCCCCACCCCCCCGCCGTAGCACTCAGGAGCACCGCCACCGCCAAAGCTTCACAAACAACCTGCAATGACTTCTTCTTCCGCTGCACAAAAGATCCCTCCGCCCTCCGCCTGTACCACTATGGCGACTTTGTAGGAGGGGGAGGAAAGGGAGGAGTCTGAAAGAATTCTAATCCTTCATCAGAAAAATATCGAGCTTTTGACTGTAGCACTATTTTTCAATGCAACACGCCTTATATTCGCCTGATTTCCATTGCATAGTGAATAACTGAAACCGTATCACAACCAACCCTCTGCTAGTTCCCCCTTGATACAATCTTAGACTCGCCCGAGTGGGGAGGAGTCGGAGATGCGGGAGGGGGTGATGCAGCCAGCTCCTGAGATTTCAGGCTGGAGGAAGGACAATGACGTCAGATCACGTGACTCTCGGTGGTGCTGTCAACAATTCAGATGGGGGGAGGGAACTAGACCACGTGGCCTTGTGACGCAGGCAGAACTGTTTGGGAGAAGGGACTGGAACCGTGAAGTTGCGAGGAGTTTGGCTAGTTCTCCTGGTGACGGAAGGATCTTCTCTTTAGGGCCTGATCTGTTTAGTCACCCCACCAGGAACCACGGCTGTTGTCTGCAGCCAGCCAGGAGATAGTAGGCAGGTCGGAACGAAGGCTTGCGTTTCTTTTTGCCTTCTTCCTTCAGGGCCTGGGGACTTCGTCGTCGCGGGCACTCCCTCTCCTGGCGCACATCGCAACCCTTCTTGTTCTTTGAGGGTCTTTGTGAGTTCTTGTGGTGGAGCAGCTCTCCGCCCTGTGGCCACCTTGGTGATCTAGACTCCAAACTTAGCTAGGTTGGTTAGTTTTCAGAAGATAGGCACAGGGGTCTTGTCTAAAATCTTTAAAATTGTGCCGCTATAATTTAAGGCTTAAATTCCTCCCCCCCCCAAAAAAACAGGCCAGAACAAAAACACTTCTCAGGCTGTTGAAAAGTTACTTCGAGGTATCGATGTAGGGCAGTAGTAGAGAGTTTTTATTGATGGGCAACAATGAATGGTGACCGCCTCCCCTCCCCTATACAGAGGAATAAAAATGTCCGAATGTGTGTAGACATCTCCTGTTCTAAGCTTCACTGAGGTTACTCTAGAGCTGGAAACCCCAGGAAGGGGGGTGTTGTGCGTGTGTTCAAAATTATATTAGAATTTCAGGCAAAATTATGCTGGAATTTAATTTTTTCTTGAATGAGCTGTATTTCATTTGAAGATTTGTATCAGAATTCGTGGATTTTGTCTGTAAGAAATCCTTGATTCTGCTTTGAAAAAAAAAGTCAGTACACAGCAGGTTGGATTTGATATAACGTTGGCCTTGTGTTTTTCATTTGTTTAAGAACTGTTTATTAATAAGTACTATGTGCAAGGCACATTCTAGGTGCTGGAAGAGATGCAAAGGTAACTAAGATCCCTGTGAGACAGAAAGATAATTATAATATGTGTCCCAGTGGAATTCTCAATCTATCAGGAGCCTGTAAATGATAAATGATATCAATACACCCAGAAATGTATTGTCATTTTGTAGAAAGAGATTTATGGTTTTAGCAAAGTGAAGGAAATTACCACCTGGCAAGTTCAGTGATGAGCATATTCTCTGGATTCTTTGGAGAATGTATAAAAAGTGAGACTGAGATGCTGAGCTGATATCACCTCACCAGTTCTACTGAAAGAAAATAAAAACCTTAAAGATCGTGTGGTATACTCTAATAAATCAAGAGCTATGGTAACATTATAACAAATCATTGCCCAAGCCATTGAGGCTGTTACTCTTCCTTAAAAGTGCTTTCAGTAAATTGGTGATCACCCTCTTGATTCTTGCTATAGTGTTCTTAATATATGTTGTTATGCATTTTGTAATAATTATCCTTTATATTTAAATCACTAACAATTCAGGGCTGGTGAGGATACAAGGTATAGATGACACACAGAGTTTACCTTATAATGAATACATGACTTTTGAAAGACACTTTGTAAGGAAAGTTAAGATCCAATTTTCACTTACTTGTGCCCCAAGCCTGGAAAGCTCTCCCTTCTTATCTCCATCTATTAGCTTCACAGGCTTTCTTCAAGTCTCAGCTGAAATCCTACTTTCTGCAAGAAGCCTTCCTAGTGCTTCTTAATCTTAATATCTTCCCTCAGATTACCTCCAATTTATCCTGTCCATATCTTGTTTGCATGTGGTTATTTGCAAGTTTCCCCCATTAGACTATGAGCTCCTTAAGAGTAGAGGGGATTGTTGTTTTGTTTTGTTTTGCTTTCCTTTGTATCCCCAGTGCTTAGCACAGTTCCTAGCACAACGTTAAGTGTTTAATAAATTCTAGTTGACTGACTACTGAATACAGAATAATTTCAAGATGTAAAAAGTGTTACTAACTGGGAGGATTAGAAAAGGCCTTATGTATGAGATGGCACCTGAGCTTGCTTTGAAGGAAGCTAGTCTCTGAGGCAGAGATATTGAGGAAGTGCCTTTTAGAAATTAGATGACCAGTTGTGCAAAGGGATGGAGATAAGAGTTGGAATATTAGATTCAGTTGCTAGCAGGTCAGTTTGATTGGATTGGAGAGGGTACTAAGGGGGATAAGATGAAAGAAAACTAGAAATGTAAATGGAAGCCACATTGCAGAGGGCTACAAATGCCAAACTAATGATTTTGCATTTTATCCTGGAGACAAAGATGCATTTAAGATTTTTTTAGTAAGGGGTTGACAAATTCAGAGATGAGTATTAGGAATGTGAATTTGGCAGCCGTATTGAGAATGGATTGAAGAAGGGAGAGGTTGAAAGTATTGGGATACCATTAAAGAAGCTATTACAATAATCCAAACAGAAAGTGATGAGGGTTTGAACTAGGGCAGAGGCTGTATGAGTCAAGGGAAGAGGATGGATATGAGAGAGTTGGGGAAGTAGGAATGACAAGACTTAGCAATTAATTGGATATGAGGATTAAGGGAGAAGAGTTGAGGACAACCTCCAGATTGTGAACCAGAGTGACTGTAAAAATAGTAGTGCTATCAGTAGAAACAGAGAAATTGAGGCATCGTGTTATAGTTAAAAGAGTTCTAGGTTTGGAATCAGATGAGGGTATGGATTTGGACAAGACATTAACCTCTCTGTGCCTTATTTTCCACACTTGCAAAAAAAAAAAAAAAAAGAGCAAAATGCAGCCCTATAGACACCATGAGAAAGATTTCCCATGCATGAGTTAAGATCATAGTAAATTCCTTGAGATAGATGTAATGGGGGGGAAAAACTTTGTTCAAACATCCTCTAATTATTAGTATGCTGAGTCATAAAGTGAGGCATAAAACATGTTTGCCATTGTGTATGCCATTGCTATGGACCATGCCTCCCATAGACTCCACATAGAAGAAGGGACTGTTTATATGTAAGGTCTTTCAGATGTTCCTATTTATAGACAACACAGTGCTGATTATATCAAGCCCTATAATACTACTGAGTCTCCTTGATGAGATCCACAGCTACTCAAAAGAATTCAGCCTGTGTTAAGACATTTAAGACGCAGAAGCTAGGATCAAGGATAAAGCAGGCATGAGAGGAATAGCAGCAGCTGTCCAAGGATGAGACTTTGTATTCTTCATAGTTATAGCTTATCTATAGATCAGGCCTTACCATATACAAGTGGAAACAAAAAGAATCTCAGAGCAGAGACATAGATAGCATTCCCTTTGGGAGAAACTATGTTCTCCAGAAGGCAACAAGGCTGCCAAATCTGTAGCCGGCAAAATCCCATGGCAAACTGAGCTCAGAATAGAAGCAATGTAAGAAGACTAGGGCAGCAGAGGAGTCTGTTACCCAGCACTTGGACCAGGCTTATGCAGAACTGTGTTCAAGATATAATGAATATGATCACCCTCACATTTTAAATATGTTATAAATGTTCTGTAATAACTATTAAAATCACGAATAATTCAACAAACATTTATTAAGGGCCTGTATGAGCACTTGTATTAGATAGGGATTGGGGGGAATACAAAGTATAGATGAGGAAGGCAGAGCCAAGATGATGGAATAGTGGGAAGAAGTACAGTGAGCTTCCCCCCAAAATTCCTCCAAACATATAGAAAATGTACCATACTGAATACTGATGGGAAAATCCAAGGAAAAAAATCATAGTTACTAATTTTTCCAGCCCAGGTTGGCACAGAGAAACTGATAGGTCTGTAAACACTAGGAACGGGGTTTGGCCAGGAGCAAGTGGTCATCTGGAGCATTTAAGTACCCAGAGAGAGGCTGAGCATTAGGGCAAGAAGGGGTCTAGACTCATAATAGGCCACCAAAAGGGAGCTGGTGCCATCTGACAGCTATGTCACCCAATACCCATTTCTAGGTCACAGATCCAGAGTAGACTGACTTGTGTCTAGGGGTGGTGTTACAGGGCAGGTAGCAGCCAGTGTCTCTCGGTGCTGTACTAAGAAGTAAAGAAGCAAGCAAGAACTGTCTGTCAGGAGCAGAGCAGGGTTTTACTTCCAGCATCTAGTCCATTCTGCAGGGAAATAATCAGGGCAGGAATCCTCACTGAACCAGCAGAGCTTTCCAGCTGCCTGATAGGGAGTGAGTCCAGCAGCAGTCTGTTGCTGTTCAGACCCAGACACAAGTCAGGAACTTGCAGAGTTCAGACGGGAAGGGCAGTGATTAGAATTTGCCTCAGATCATACAACTTTGAGAGGAATGAAAGCTTGCAGTTTACCAATCTGAGCTGTCCCTGAGATCCTAAAATAAAACAATACTTGATACCTCCAATAAGCAGGACCATCCCTGACCTTCCTTCTAGAAGCACAGAGGCTAGCTCTAACATCAAGTCTGAAAGCAGGACGTAAGCTGAAAGACTGAACAAACAAAAAAGAACCCTACTATAAAAAGCTGTTATGGTGACAAAGACATTTGAGGCACAAACTCAGAAGGAGAGAATGGCTTCAAAACCTCTACAAGCAAATACTCAAAGAAATACATGG